GGTAGTCAAACAACTACACAGCGGCGGAGCCCCGGGGGCGGATGAGGTTCGTCCTGGGTATCTCAAGGCTATGGATGTTGTAGGGCTGTCATGGTTGACACGTCTCTACAACATTGCGTGGTCATCGGGGGCAGTTCCTAGGGAGTGGCAGACCGGGGTGGTGGTCCCCATCTTTAAGAAGGGTGACCTGAGGGTGTGTTCCAACTATAGGGGGATCACACTCCTCAGCCTCCCTGGAAAGGTCTACGCCAAGGTACTGGAGAGGAGGGTCCGATCGATAGTTGAATCTCAGATAGAGGAGGAGCAATGTGGTTTTCGTCCTGGCCGTGGAACTGTGGACCAGCTCTATACCCTTGCAAGGGTGATGGAGGGGGCATGGGAGTTTGCCCAACCAATCAACATGTGCTTTGTGGATTTGGAGAAGGCTTATGACCGTGTCCCCAGGGGCACCCTGTGGGGGACGCTCCAGGAGTATGGGGTGGGTGGCTTTCTGTTAAGGGCCATTCAGTCCCTTTACCAGAGGAGCGTGAGTTTGGTCCGCATAGCCGGTAGTAAGTCGGACCTGTTCCCAGTGAGGGTTGGACTCCGCCAGGGCTGCCCTTTGTCAACGGTTCTGTTCATCACTTTTATGGACATAATTTCTAGACGCAGCTGTGGTGTGGAGTGTGTCGAGTTTGGTGGCAGGAGAATCTCGTCTCTGCTTTTTGCGGATGATGTGGTCCTCCTAGCTTCATCCAGCTCTGACCTTCAGCTCTTGCTGGGTAGGTTCGCGGCCGAATGTGAAGCGGCTGGGATGAGGATCAGCACCTCCAAATCTGAGACCATGGTTCTCGACCGGAAAAGGGTGGCGTTCCACCTCCGGGTCGGGGAAGAGGTCCTACCTCAAGTGGAGGAGTTTAAGTATCTCGGGGTCTTGTTCACGAGTGAGGGTAGGAGGGATCGGGAGATCGACAGGCGGATTGGTTCGGCGTCTGCAGTGATGCGGACGCTGAGCCAATCTGTCGTGGGGAAGAGGGAGCTGAGCCAGAAAGCCAGGCTCTCGATTTACCGGTCGATCTACGTCCCAATCCTCACCTATGGTCATGAGCTTTGGGTAATGACCGAAAGAACGAGATCGCGGATACAAGCGGCCGAAATGAGTTTCCTCCGTAGGGTGGCCGGGCTCAGCCTTAGAGATAGGGTGAGGAGCTCGGACATTCGGGAGGGACTCGGAGTAGAACCGCTGCTCCTCCGGATCGAAAGGAGCCAGTTGAGGTGGTTTGGGCATCTGGTCAGGATGCCTCCTGGACGCCTCCCCGGGGAGGTGTTTCGGGCATGTCCTGCCGGCAGAAGGCCCCCGGGTCGACCCAGGACACGTTGGAGAGGTTACATCTCCAATCTGGTCCGGGAACGCCTTGGGGTCCTGCCGGAGGAGCTGGTGGACAAGGCCGGGGAGAGGACGGCCTGGAGCTCCCTAATTGGGATGCTGCCCCCGCTACCCGGACCCGGATAAGCGGAGGAAGACGAAGACGAAGACGAAGGCAAGTTTGAAATTTAAGAGTTTTAATTCTTCAATTTAAACTAACGATTTGAAATGACAATCATAGGAAAAATAATCAACATGGGCAACCTGGTTGGACAATCTTTAACAGTTGATATTTTAAGCTTGCACAAATAGACCTTGTGTTGGATGTGCTAAGATTTGAGAATGATGGAATTATGAATGCGTGCATGCAGGTGTCTGAGATTGCTTCAGGGAGAGAAAAGGCGAATCTGAGTGAAAAATGATGTTTTGAATTAAACTTTAGTTTTATTAGAAAAACTGCATCAGAACGCTATCTATTGTGTTCTGCCTCACCGTACTCAGGACCCTCTTTCAGATCTGGACCTCACAGGAGGATGTTTATCCAGGTCACACCTTGGCTGGCAGGTGTGCTGACGGTCCAGTCCAGAGTTGACCTTGGTACACGTTGCTGAAGCGTTTCGGCAGATGCGCTTTCTCAAGTTTAAATTAACTCAGAAATCAAAGACTCTGGGACGAGTCTGCGTTAGCGGTTGCATTTCAGCTATTCTGTCTGGCTTGACAGAAATAGCGGGGGGGGGGGGGGGGGGGGGGGGGGGGGGGGGGAAGAAGCCGGCAGGGCTCTTTCCCTGTGGCGTTGGTTCCGCACGTCCGCCCTCTTCCGTTCTCACTCTCGTTCCGACTAACTTACCAAAACCACTTCTCTTCCCAAAGCAAACTTGTTGTGTGTCTGAGCAAATGTGTTTTGAGTTACTGTGGATACGGACCTGTGTGAGCAGGTGTGAAAGTCATCGCTAAACATCTTCAAAAACATTATTTAATTAAGTATCCTGATTCATGATAGTTCATTATGATTACCCAAAGCATAATAATCATTCATTTGATTAAAATACATTTATAATGAGCAAAGTGATCAAATGATAATTTAGCATTAATAAACAAAGAAAGTTTAAGACTCTGTTTTATTATGACTAGATTGTGTGAGAAGTCCTTCTTCTGGAGATGCAGGTGTTCTCAATGTTGTGGAATTCTTCAGACTTACTGGTGGCTCAGGTCTTAATCTGTGGGTGAAAGTTGCTGCATGACCCAGCTTTGGCCCAGCCGGGCAAATACGACCTTTGGCACAGAAAACCCATACTTCCTCACGTTACACTACCAATAGTTGTTTCTTTAATTACCTGCCACGAACAAAAACCTGCTAATGAATCCGACACTAATGTGAGGTCAATTGCTGATTCTGTACCAGCTCTAATATTTAATCTCGTACCACGTCCATCATTCAAACATACATAATTTTTTCTTTCCATCAGTTCCTCAATAACTGCCCCATTCCTATCATTGATATTGCCCCATAAGGAACTGTGTGCATTGAAGTCCCCACACCAAATTACTTTTCCCTCTAAATGTGTATCTAGTTCATCTACATCTAATATTCTGTTGCCTGGATTATAAAAATTGATTACGTTAATATTACAATTTCTTGACCAGATTTCAATTACTATGTACTCTAACTGTGATCCTACATGTACAGGTCTATACGGAGTTCCTCGTCTCACAAATGTCACACATCCTCCTCCATTACCTTCCTGTCTGTCTCTACGGATACCATCACAACCTGCAATAATAAAATCTAAATTAGGTTTTAGCCATGTCTCCTGAATACATACTATATCTGGTTTAATTTTGCATTTATTGATAAATCCCTTAAATTCCTGTCCATTTGCAATCAAACTTCTGGCCTTCCATTGTAATATAATCATGCTGGCCTGTCACCAGGACCTCCCGCCTTCCCTTCCTCCCCAAGTCTCTTATTGATATGTTCCCATGAAACGTCTTTAATGCCAAAAAATCTCTCTGCTCCTTTCACAATTATTTTTATTTTCTCTGTTCTGTGTTTCACTTGAGCTGTACAGTTTATGACATACGCCATAAACAAAATCCTCTTCTCCACTGTCAATCCTGCGTGAGTTTCTTGAGTTTGCACAAAATCTGATGGTGACTCTGTATGAACTTTTCTAGCCTCATGCTTTCCATTCTGTGCCCTTTTCAGAGCCTCTGCGTAGCTGATGTTATGAACCACTCTTATCTGTTCAACCTGCACTGCCTTCCTTCTGACCTCACAGCCCCCATAACTCACCCTGTGCTGCCCCCCACAGTTGCAGCACTTGTCTTGTACTTGTTCTCCACATTCCTCATACCTGTGATCACCTCCACACTTAGGGCACCTCTGTTTCCCTTTGCACACCGCTGCAATATGTCCATACCTCTGGCATCTATAACATCTGAGGGGTGGAGGGATATAAGCTCTAACAGGGAAGCTCATGCACCCTATCCTAACCCTCTCCGGAAGGACATCCTCCTGAAACTCCAAAAGTATGAATAAACTTTCAGCCTTCCCTCCATCTATCGTCTTTAACAGTCTCTTCACCCGGCTCACTTCACCACCACGAATACTCAGCTTAAGTTTTTCCAGATCTTCCTCCACTGGTATTCCAGTAATCACCCCCCGTGTCACTTTATTTTCTCCGAGTCCCCTTTTGTCCCTCACTATCTTCTTACAAACACTGCCAACGTTCAGTACTTTCTGTTTCTGTTCTTCAGTCTTCACTTCTATCAGCAGGTTCCCATCCCGCAGAACTTTAGCCAGCTGAACCTCCCCAAACCTTCTTTTCAATTCTCTTGATAAAGCAATCGGGCTCAACTGAACTTTCTCATCTTCCTTTCTGACCCTCACGATTATTTTGAATCCCTCTCTAACTATCTTTTTCCGGATAACATTTGTACCTTCATCAGAACTGATCTCCTCTAAACCCCGTTTACTGGTCTGTGATCCAAACACTCTCCCCACCACTCCTGTTTCTCCCTCTACCTGATCTCCCGCCATTAGAAACTTGGGTCCATGCACCAAATCCTTTTCGTCCTCATCCTCTTCCTGAGACGCCATTCCAGCCATTCACACACCAGATTATGCCATCCGCCAAAGACCGTGATCCGAAATCCTTCTCCAAAATCCAGAAACAAATCGCAATCTTTCAAATTTCGCTCCACTCGTTTTCCTTCCGCCTCCCACATTTCGCGACAGTCTATTCTGATTGTTTCCTTTACAAGCTTCAAATAAGGTCATGAACTAGCCTGCCCACGCAGTTTTCTGTGGAAGGGTGTGGCTTATATAAGTTCTGTGAGCCAATTAGGGTCACTGCCATCAGCTGGCAGCTACACTCTCCCTAAAATCTCGTTTGTTGTGTGAATAAAGAAGGAAAACTTCTGAATCTTCCATCAGAGGAACGCTTCTATTTTGTTTTTCATTAACATTTTTAGATTCATTCATTAATAATTAAAAAGCTGAGCTAGTGTGTGCGTGTGTGTGTGCGTGTGCGTGTGCGTGTGTGTGTGTGTGTGTGTGTGTGTGTGTGTGTGTGTGTGTGTGTGTGTGTGTGTGTGTGTTCCTGCAGAGGGCGGTGTGGTGCCACTGCAGCCTGATAATAAATCCACTCCTCAGTCTGAGCTGCACCCAGATTTATTGTAGCTTCTTCCAAAAACAGCAGATAGAAACATCAGAACAGACGTTCAGTCGTGCAAAAAAACAGCAACAAGACAGGAAACCAGCAGTCCCCAACCTGGAAGTTTCATCAGTCAGATGGGAAATGGGCTGGGAGGGGCTGCATCATGCAACGACCAGAAAGAACTACAACATCATCTTCATCACCAGGAGGAGCTCAGGTTCCTCTCAGTCCAGAGCAGAAAAAACTGATGGAAGCAGATTAAATCCAGGAGCAGGCTGGAGCGGGTCAGGTTCTGTTCTAGAAGCTTCTTTCTGACTTCTGCATGATGAACAATCCCACTCAGATCTCCTTGATGGGAATCTCATCCGATTCAATCAGCAGCGTGAGTCAGAACCAGTCCAAAGTTCTGTTTGTGAGACCAGAACTCAGTAGTTTCATCTAAAACATCTGAAAGCTTCTGGTTCTTTTTATGCATTTAAATCTTACAGTTCTGGTCCGATCCTCTGCTCTGTAAAAAAAAACTAAGTAGATTTTTTTTTACTTTAACTTTTTCAGTTTCTCACTGCTGGAAAAGATAAAAGTTCAAACTAAATAACTCAAAGTACATTCAGTCAGCATTTATCAGGACTTCTGAACTTCTGCAGTAAATTCAAAACTAACCCGTTTTAAATTGAATAAATGGATCTTATCTGGAGTTGTTGTACCACGTGTTGGATTTGTTCAGATCTGCTGTGAACTGTTGATGCTGATCCAGAACAGATCATGTGAACTATTTAGAGCCATCTGAAACTGAATCAGGTTTAGAGCTGCTGTACCAGTTGAACTAAAGGAAGACCTTAATTAGCATCCAGCTCTGGATCTCCATCTGCAAGGTGCACAGACCTGAACAACCAATACAGACCCAGACCAGAACCAGTCTCGTCTGGGTCCAGAGAGAGATTCTAAAAAATCTGGTACATTTTCTTGTAAATATGTACAATTAATCAAATTTGAGTTTGGTTTTTAATTTAATCTCCAAACAATCCCCCAAGAGTAATCAGCAAAACTGACTATTACTAAAATATTGTTGTAACATTTTGCTTTGAAATTATGCTTTTATTTTGTAAAGCCTTTTAAGAAACACATACTTCCTCTACTTCTGAAGACTAAAATTTCTTGTTGTGCTTTTAGAAGTCAGGGCAAGGTAAGATGGCAGAGCAAGGGCAAAACACAACGTATGGCATGCATACATTAGGAATTATTGTCCAGATGTGCTGAGAAGGAGAGGAAAGCTATGTGTCTGACTGACCCTCCGGACCTCCACAACAAACTCTACTGTCATCCAACCAGGCCAAACCAATGTACGGAGCCTCTTAAGGGACAAAACTAATGAAAATAACAACTCAAACCTTCATGTGGAAAACAAAAAATATATAAAACGCAACAATCAAAATATGCTTTCTTAATTAGTTTTGGGGAGCCCCTGTGTAAGCAAGTGGGATTAACTGACGTGTGAGGTGCATCATTTTGACTTCAAACCGCTTCATTATGAGATTGAGCTTTCAAATGAAGAATGAATGCTTTTGTCTGTTGAGTTTATTAGTTTTCCTTAAAACATTTAACTGTGTCTTGTTGTAGTTATTTAAACAAGTGTATTTATTTCACCTTTTGGACTTCCCCGAAACCAAACTCAGAGCTGGCAGAACCAGCTAGGTCAAGAAGACGTCGGTGCTTTGTTTGTGAAAGCTGTGTTTATTGTTCCTGTTTATTGCTGATTTACTGGTTGATTTTAGATGTTCAGCCCTCTGACCCCTAACTGTGTTTTTAACGTTTTATAAACTCTGAGGCTCTCTGATCTCTTCACGGTTGGTAACGAGGATCTGAAACCCCACCAGCTCCCAGGAGTCTCATTACCTCCCTCAGTAACTCCTCTTGCCCTGGACAAACGGACCTCCATCTGAACTGGAGAGCTCCTGAAGTCCTGATTAGTTCAGATTATATTTTGTTCACAAGATAAGGAAAACACAAAACACTAACAGCACCGATTGGCTTCATGCAAAAAAGATCTGCATACAGAATCGAACTTCTGTCTTAAAACTGCAGAAAACCAAACAATATTTAGATTTTAAGAGAATCAGGTAATTTACATGTTTTTGTTGCAGCACAACTACATGCAGGCTGAGTTTGGTGATACTGTTTTGTGTGTTAACAAGTTCCTGTCATGATGAATCGACCCTGTCTTCTGCTGAGGTGATGAGAGTCGAGTCCATATGATGAGTGATGAAGGCACACCAACCGGCAAACCATCTGATGAAATGATTCTTCACATGTACTCCGAGTCGGAGCAAATTCCTGTCCAGTTTTCTGAGGATCCGTGGAACACCAGATCCCTGATGTAGACCACCTGGAGGCTGCTGTGAGGCATTTAATCATGGCTGAAGGTACGAGGAAGCTCATTGGTCAGGATGTGCCAGCGCTCCACCCTGTGACCGTTGTTCTTGAGGCAGTCCATCCAGTGACGGAGGGCGTCCCCTTGAGATCGGCAGCTCAGACAGACTCCGCCTGAGCACCAGAAACAGAACCCACATCAGTATTACCGGAGTCCAGTCCCACCTTATGCAAGTGAACCTCCAAACAATAGAACATGATGCAAAAGTTCATTTATGTCAGTAATTCTACTTAAATGGTGACACTGGTATATGGGACCTGGGACGTAATTTTGGGGGGGGGACGGGTGGGACATGTCCCCCCCCACTTTTTCAAAAGGCAGTTTTGGTCCCCTGCACTTTTTTCCGTCCAAAAACAATGTTACGCTCCATTATATGGATTTGGTTGAGCACTAGGACCGAAACGGAAACCGGTTTCCTATTAGACCCGCCCAAAAGCTAATCTATTGGCTCTGCTGATACTTGCTAACGTATTATTGGCTGTTGCTGCTGTCACTCAAGTTGTAAACAGTCAGAACGTGCTCACGTTGTTTTGCTAGTTTGGAGCCGCTAGGGAACACCGGTACTGAGTCACATCGTCAACTAGACGCTGTGTAATATCAGCTCAGCTCAGCTTCCATTACATAACATTTGAATAAGTGTTCATTTGTGAGTCTTTGGTAGTTAGGCACAGCCAGGCGGCAACATGTCAAGAAAACGAAAAGTGGATATAAGAGACTTCTTTCAAAGTCAAAACGTAAGTTGGAACATGTGACACCCCTGCATTAAGCTCAGACTCACCTCCTCCTTCACAAACATACTCAAAACTAACTTTTACAAACTCATCTCCTCCACATAACTGACTCCTCAGACACAATTTATTCGTATTATTATAATTATTATTTTATTATTATTACTAGTAGTAGTAGAAGTGTAACTTCAAAACTTTTATCATTTAACTTTATTGTAAACGTATCTATTGCAATGTATATGTTCACATTAAAAAGCTCTGAAAAATGAACAGTATCATCGTCAACAGATTTTTTTAAGCTTAATGTCAAAGATGTACACTTTTCATTAGATTTATCTTATTTTTTTCCATTTATTTTTTGTGTGTTGAAATGCAACAACTGTTTAAACACTTTTAAGGGAAAAACATATTTAATATGTTTTTATACACTCAAATGTTAGGGTGATGATCATGTGTAAAACATTAGTTCAGCATGTCCTCTAACACAGCAAATGAACAAACGGCCAGATCTCAGGAGGGACCGTTTATGTATAAATAATTTTTATACTTTTGACTAGGCCTGGGAAAGTAACAAATTTTGCTGGACGATATTTTGTCCAACAAATTGTTGATGATAAACGATATCATTGTCAACATTATCTAGACCAAAATAACCACTAATATAATGTTAATATATCATAATAATGCAAGTACACCCTTTAAAATGCAACAAATAAACCTTCATTTAACATTGAAATGTCCAGAACCAGAACTTCTAAATGAATAAAAATAACAAACAAAAATTAAATAAAAAAGGAATCTCACTCACTGTTAGAAAATGTTGCACCAAAAACAATAAAAAAAGACCCAAAACAATAAATACAATGGCCTATCCATTGTCAACAGCCAAAACTGCACTTCAATAATGATAATAAATAAAAATAATAATAGAGTTGTACATTTTTTAACTTTGATATATATATATATATTGAGGATGGAAAAATTATTGAGATGGGCACGTGACGTGTCAAGGGGTCTTTACATAACACCCCCCACCCCAAATCCGCACAAGCCTGCTGTGTCCCCCCCCACTTCTGAAATCAAAATTTCGTCCCTGTATGGGACAGACTGAATTGTGATGATTATGGCTTACAGTTCATGAAAACTCCAAAATCTCAGACAGTCAGAATATTGTCAAAAGGTTCGATAGACTCAAAGTGTCACACTCTGGTCAGCTAACGAATCCAGAATACCTGCAAAGGGTTCCTGCGCCTTTAGATGGTCTCTCAGTCTACGCTGAATTACTGACATAAATGGACTTTAGCACCATGCTCTCTTTTTTAGTTTTACCTTTAGACCGACCCGGTTTCTTGAGGTGTTTTGTCTAAATTGGTTCAAATGTGTTCAAAGTTTCTGTGACCAGAATGAGGCTGTTGCTGAAGTGTCACTGAGCGTATCGCAGGCTGCTGTTCTGTCACCATCTGAATGTTGGAACAACGTTCATGTATCGGTACCTGGACGGTTGTGATGTCTGAACACCTGTGTGTGGACTGTTCAGGGACACAGACACAGGAGTCTCCTCATGGTCTGATAAGGAGTCTTTCTGGCCTCAATTTGGCAGAATCAAGGGACAATCATGTTAAAACAAAAAGAAACAGGAAGCTAGCCAACAAATCCAGAGTCTTGCTGCTGCTGTCAGCGCTCCATCAGTTTGGAGGCAGGATGATACTGCGACTATGCAAAACAACAAAGATGGCAGTGGCTTGTTTAAATCTTTTTGCTATTTTGACAACTTTGGACTATTTAGGTTTGGGTTTTCTTTGAGTCAAGAGCAGATAGAAGTACAAATCCTTTACTTAGAAGAAGCGTCTTCTTCAACAATGAGTGGTGGACTGCTCTGTTGACTGACATTCGTTGAAACACGTTCTCACTCCCGAAGCGTCTAAAACTGACGCTGGCTGATGCCAGAGCGTTGGATTCTGTCACCCGCGGTAAAACGGGGATTTTACCGAATTCTGACCTTTACCCTCTTGCTATTAACCTTCCACTCACCCCCATCCTAACCTTAACCCTCTTTGCGCTTTCAAAACTCTGTTCCTAGTTGTAACGTCCCTCTCCAACATGGTTAACAGGAAGTTTAGAATGAGCAGCAGGGTTAAGGTTAGGATGGGGGCGAGTGGAAGGTTGGCTAGCAGGAGGTCAGAGAGAACTTTTATAAGGTTTTATAGGTTTGAGGCGCTCTTTGGATGGGATGATGAGATGGGATGGGTCAAAAAAAAACAAGAAAAACTCCAAAGCACTCTCAAATAGAGAAACTTCAAGAGCCTTTGTTGTAATGGCTTTTTAACTTTTTCTATTTGAATGTGCTTTGGAGTTTTTCTTGTTTTTAGCACGAGGTTAGCGGTTAAAAGGTGGTAAAATGTGCGCTTTACCGCAGGCGTCGGAATCCAACGTTCAGGCAGTCAAACGTCGGTTTCCGATGTGCTGGGACTCCCAATGCGTCGGAAACAGATGCTGGTCACCCAGCGTCAGTTTACTACGCTTCAGGAGTTAGAATGTGTTGTCCATAGTGGTATGTCACATCGCTGTCCAACAGCGTGTGGAGACGGTTTAAAAGACATCCATAGATTCCCCCCATGACTGAGCTCTGTCTGTGGGTCGTGGTCAGACTACATTCACTCATATAGGATGCCTTGCCAGGCTAACAGGAAGCAGCTTCATGGAGATGTTTGTGATCGTCAGGATCAGTCTCACCTATGAAGTCGTTGGAGCGTCCCAGGTCGTAGTCCCACACCGTCACCTCCAGAGTTTTTTTAGCCAGCTCTGACAGCGAGATCTCATAGAAAAACTCCTGCAGCAGACACATAATTACCTCAACTGTGTGAATATTAACAACACACACACACACACGCACGCACACACACACACACACACACACACACACACACACACACACACGCACGCACGCACGCACGCACACACACACACACACACACACACACAAACACACGCACGCACGCACGCACGCACGCACGCACACACACACACACACACACACACACACACACACACACACACACACGCACGCACACACACACACACACATACGCACACACACCTGCAATGCTAGAGTATATGATGGAAGCATTTCCTCATGGGTAAACGTTTCTGTTTCCACGGCTCTGATCTACACAGAACATGATTTTCCACCTGAGTAGCTGCTCTGTTAGAGACGGTTAGAACAAAACTCACAGCAGAAACGCGGTTAATTAACTTTCTGCTGATAGCTTGTCCCGCTGCTCAGCAGGACGTTTGGAAACAGGATAAAAAAGATCAGTTTAGATTTGGCAAAAAGTCATTTCCTTCTCACAGTTTTTTGTTTAGCTTCTTTTTTGATGTTGTCGCTTAATTATTTCAGATCAGTAAACATGTTTCGGTGTGAGCGTTAGATGGTTAAAGTTAAGAGACCTCTATGGGAGATTTCCAAGACTAATAACTCTGCTTACAAACAACAAAAAACTATCTCACATCTACCTAAAACGTCTTAATGAATCCAAAGGCTTCTGGGAAAAAGTTCTAGTCAGTCAATCACATCAAACATGAACGTCAGACATGTGCTGCTTGTCATGTTCTTTGTAGCCAACAGGAGGCGCTGTTCACACCTCAGTGCAAGCAATCACCACTGCAACAGAACCTGCATTTGAATCCATGCATGTCATGTTTTTATGAAACCTAAACAGTCTGAGCATCTGAGTGGAACAGGCTGGTTGTGGTGGAGGAGAAGCATGCAGGTTAAAGGTCACCAAGCTGCTGTCAGCGGCCTGCAGGAGGTTAAACAAGGTGGGCAGCTGTTTCCGCCAAGCTTGGCCTGCTTCAGGGTTCTGAGGGATCCTTACCTCATTAAACTCTGGGTTCAGCGTTTTTTTCCTCACCGACGTTTTATGCTTCGATTTCTTCTGCGTGTCGGGCTTCAGGTATCTGCCAGCAGAGGGAAACAGGAAGACCCAAACAGTCAAAGACAGACTTTAGAAAAGGAGCCAGTGAGCTGGTTCTGGTCATGATTGATGGTGTCAGCAGTGACATCACAGGGGAGGATCAGAGTCATGCTGTTCATGTGGTTGTATTCATTTCTCATCAGCTGGATTATAAAATAAATCTGATTCCTAACTTGAATTCCAGAATGAGTCCAGGGTTTTGCTAAAGCATCAGCTGGAGGTGTGTTGGTTTTTCCGTTTGAGGCTCTGATCCGTTATTCCAGAGAGAGGAATGTGATTCAGACTTCAGAACATCAGAGATTCTGCCGTAATGACGGATTTAAAGATCAGAGCAGAGCGGGTTCAGGAGACTCTCTGGGAGAGGAGATCTTCTCTGAGGATCACCATGGAGGAGGAGCGATATTACATGTTCTAGATAAGCCGGCTGTGAGGACCAGCACACATACTCCTAACAAGACTCTGAAGCATGCTCTGGTCACATGATGGCTGGCTAGTTATGATGATGCCTGTCTGATGTTCAGAAACTTGTCATATCAAACAGTTAGCATAAGGGACTAATCCAGAGGAGTGGGGGAAGAAAACACAAGTAAAATTTCCTTCTACATTTAAGATCAGAGGAACTATTTCTACAAGGTTTATCTTCAAGAAACGGGGAGTTAGTGATCCCGCTGCATGTGGTGTCCCATGTCTCACAAACATGTCCCAGCAGAGCTGGGGACGAAGGCCTGCAAGAGGTTAGGTAATGAGCTGATGGCTCGGTCTGGTCCACTAGATCAGTCAGAGGTGGTCTCAGATCCGATGATCCGGTTCAGGTGGTCTAAACCAAAGCTGACGGGTTTCTAGTCTGCTGATGTGACAGAGGATTGAGCTATAGAAAGAAGAAGAAAATATCATTTATATAGCGCCTCTCAAGATAAAAACCACGAGGCGCTTCACAAAAACAAAATGTAAAAACATAAAAAAGCATTTAGAAAATGTTTAAAAATATATTTAAAATGAGCAAAAACAGACAATTGTGATTAAACATGTTAAGAAAGAGAGAGAGTGAATAGGAAAGAGGGAAATCAGTGGATCCTGAGGAAGGTGGAATAGGTGGGGAGAGCAGAATAAAGAGAGAGAGGTGAAGAAGGTCATACAAAAGCCAGCTTGAACAAGTGAGTCTTCAGCTGCTTTTTAAAGGAGACCACTGAGTCCACTGATCTCAGGCTCAGGGGGAGAGAGGTCCAGAGTCTGGGGGCCACAGCAGCAGATGATCTGTCACCTTTGACCTTTAGCCTGGTGCTGCACAACCAGTAGGCTTTGGTCACTGGACCTCAGGGACCTGCTGGGGGTGTAGGGACTAAGAAGATCACCAATGTAAGATGGTGCTTGTCCATGTAAGGCCCTGTAACGTCTCACTGACTGGTGCAGACTGAGGTGGAAGAGCCAGAGGAGGTTCCAGAGGTCAACGTGAAGGTCGTGACCTTCTCTGTCAGACCCGGACCTCCTCTGATGAAACACAAAGGGCTTAATTAAAGCAATTTACTGATCCTTGCTTCTGATCTTTTCTCTGAGGTGGACAAATGGTCGTTTCACAGGAAACGGAGACAGATGTCCAGGAAGGAAACGACGGGACGTTCTAATGAAAACAGCTTCTGAGAACCTGAAGTCGTCCCTGCAGGATGATCTTCACGCCGCAGTCTGATCAAATCGTGTAAGTCATCAGTAATGAAGCTGGATTAATCATTCATTAATCACACACACACACACACACACACACACACACACACACACGCACACACACACACACACACACACACACACACACACACACACACACACACACACACACACACACACACACAGTCCAGATAATGAACCTGAACCTTCAAACAGAACTGTGACAAACTGGCATTTTAGTCCTAATCCCAGTGAGATTAAGCTATCATTAAATATTAGACCACATATTAATTTCTGATGCTGTGATGATGAAACTTTTCTGTGTGTCTCAGACGGATCCGCTCTTGCTGCTTCAGCAGGCGGGATGGCCACAGAACCAGGTGGGCTGTGTTCACCTCGTCTAATAACGTATTGGACGTTCAGAATATCTCAGGAAGACGTGTTGAAAGGAAAAGAGAAGCCAGGTTTAGTCTCCAGGGGCTTGTTTATGGGACACCTAAAGGTCCAAACAGAACCCTAACCCTGCAGCACCGAGCCACCGGAGCCGACAAGACTGTAAATGATTCTGACTTGGTACGTTAAAGATGACACGAGGAAATAATCAGATGAGGAAGAACTTGGACAACCGGCTCCTCTTCATCACAGTTGGATAGCTGAAGGCCGCTGTGAGCCAATAAGAAGACAGGGACACACACACCCATCACGGCCCCCAGTGGGCTGTTGTCTGTCTGTGGATGCTTTAAGAAACGAAGCTCTCCGCCGTCGACCGGAGTATTAAAACTTTTAAGGTTTGAAGTTGTTCCTTTTCTCTTTGATGGGTCCAGCCGTCAGACCGATGACCTCCTCTTCATCAGAGCCAGTGGTCCACACACACATGTGACTAATCTGACCAAATGCTACAAAGACGTCCTCTCCTTGTTTCTATTTGGTCACGTTAGCATCCTTAGAGGAATGACCTGGAGCTGACTTAACGTCTGAATGTTTGATGAGTCTGAGGTTCTGCTCACAGGAAGAGGAGGAAGTGCTGCTGTTGCTACAGGAAGTCGCTTTAAAGAGAAGGAAACAGAATACATTACGTCCAGAGGGTTACCTCCATGACACAAGAATTTCCCTCAGGATAAATAAAGTTGTTCTTATTCTTATTCTTAATCATGAAGCGATCACTGAAACAAAAGGTTTTTGTTAGCGGCGGTTCAGAGAAACTGTTTCTGTCCTGAAGGAGCGTCCCAGTCCAGCCGGTCCTGGCCCGTGTGAAACAAACAGCTCTGTCTACAGCTTCTAGATGTTTGCAACCAGAGTGTGAGGTCATCATGAAGTTCAGGTGCAGGTGTTCGAGTCGCCCACGCTGCCTGTGTGTGGTGGTCGGAGGAACAGGTGGCACCAGCCTCACCTCCATCAGTGTGCTCCAGGGCAGCTGTGGCTACACTGTAGCTCATCTCCACCAGTGTGTGAATGACAGGATGGGTTGTGAAGTGCCTTGGGGGTTTGTAGAACCCAAAGAAGGTACTAATACATATACTGGCTATTTACTGTTTACCATTAGTAAACAAAAACAGTTTCACAAACAGGGAAGTTTGAGTTTTTATTGAACTTTTCCTTTTTTAAAGACTGACCTGATGAATCATCTCTGATATGAACAATTCTTTCAGTATGATGACGTGTTTCAACCTGATTGTCGTTTTCTCAGGGCTCTTGATTTGGCTCAAAGCCACAGGAAAACGCTGTCCTCCTCCTCCGAGTGAAGGGGTTAAGAGTCGGCGGAAACAAAGCATCATGAAGCCCTAATCCCAAATGATCTGTGGTGCTTCCCGCAGAGCTCTGACTCTTCCATTTATCATCTTTCCTCACAGGAAACAGGTGCTTGTTTGAAGCATCGTTTAATAAAACCTGAGCTTTAATCGTCTTGCTGACGACGAATCAGACGCCTTGGCCTCCTCTGAATCCTGCGGAGACTCAACTTGTGATTTCATCACATTAATGAAGTCATCATGTGAACAGCTGGCCTTTAGTTTAGGAAGTTTCAAATAAGAAGCCAAAACATCCGATTAAAACAGAAAATAATCTTTACATTTAAACATATATTCTGAATTTTGGAGAAACTGAATGAACGCAAACAGAGCTCCTCTGGGTCTCCTGTCCAGGTGGGTCCAGGTGGGAAACTAGGTATAACAAGCATTGCATCATCATCTTCAGTGACGACATCACAAACACGGGGCATGAGTATGACTTCTGACAGAAGTTATCTCACACCCCAGCCAAACTCCCCCCTCCTCCTCCCTTTCCTGATGGGAAGGTAGAGATGCTGCTCAGCAAAATGAAAAACAAGCCACCTGTTTCTGAAAGGAAACGTCTGGATTTCTTATGAGAGGTTTGGCTGATGCTGGAAGACTTCTAACTAACGTGTTTTTACCAGAAATAGTCGTTTTAGTGCAGCTGGGATGAGAATCAGCTCCTCTAAATCTGAGACCATGGTCTTGATTCGGAAAAGGGTGGAACGCCTTCTCCGGGTCAGGGATGAGGTCCTGCCCCAAGTGGAGGAGTTTAAGTATCTCGGGGTCTTGTTCACGAGCGAGGGGGAAAGCTGGAGCGTGAGCTATTGAACCATCTGTGTTGCTGAGCTGCCCCACTCCCCTGGGTCCTCCACTCATCACACACCCACATATTTAGCACTGGTGTGAGAGGTTCTCCGCTCAATAATGTCAGAGCAGGAGAAACAGCCGGCTGCTACCACTTCAACTTTAGGACAAACTACCAGAGTCCCAAAAAGAAAATCCCCATCTGAAGTCGCGTTTGGACACAGAAAACGGCGACTGGCGTTTGGTGCTATCACACCTCCGGCAGCGTAGCTGTCTGACTCGGGGGGGTGGGGGGGGGGATCAAGTCTGCGTTCACAATCTAGCTTGTTGTGTAGATTCACCGTGACAGCTTTAACTTTTCAGTGTGATGTAGGGACTTCAGAATGTCATGTTCTGTGTCCCGGTGGTCCCGGCCCCTTCCAGGTCCCCCCCCGAACCCTAGTCACCTCAACCTCATATTAGTTGTCCCATCTCATTTATTGTTAGCCTCCCTATAGATTCCCTCTTGTTTGGTTTCCCCAGTGAAAGATCCAGTGCCTCTACAGTAGTTTTAGGTTTATTAGTTCACTTGTTTTTACTCTTCTGTGTGTTTGGATGAAGTTAGTATCTCCCTTTAGTTTATCGTGTTTCTTCTCCACGTAGGTAACTCGTCTCTCCCGCCTCCCATCAGCTCACACCTGCTGCCTGTTTCCCTGATCGCTGCCCTCTGGGTATTTAAGGCCCGGTCTCGTCGTGTGTTTGTTGGTTCCTCCTGCGCTCCTGAACTTGGTGAGTTTGTTTTCTTGTGCCCCTTCTGGATTTTACCGCCACGCTGCTTCAATAAAGGACTATCAATTTTTGACAACATCTCAGTCTTGGTGTCAGTCTGGGCTCCTGCACATTGGGTCCAACCTCCCCTCAACATGACACACACGTGCTCTACCACTTGCTCGGCCAGACAGGTAAAGGGCTACGTGGCCATTTTATGTCATCACTAAACCAGACTCGGTTTTTATTGATTCTCTTCAACTTTAGAAAACAACTGTTTACTTTGTCAGACTGAAACATTACCCTTAATGAAGGTTTTTTGGGACATTTCCTCCACCTTTTTTCTGCGACATGTTTAAATCCCGTGCTGTCTTTAGGTTTGAGAGGGTGAGGTTTGGGCTAAGGGTCTGTGTCCCTGGCTGGCTGGGAGTAAGTAACTCCAGTATTAAGATACCTGATGGGCTATAATGGGAAAAAGGAAATAGAGATTTCTAGACGTTCCAAAGACCAGATCTAAAAGTCGAGGTGATCGCTCCTTCCAGACTGTTGCACCCCGACTTTGAAATGAACGTCCTTTATCCGTACGCAGCAGTGACAGTCTGGACATTGTTAAACAGCTAAAGACCCTTTTATTAAAACTGCGTTTACATGAGTCTCTTATTATCTTATAACTCAAGTCTTTTATTATCTTATAACTCCAAATTGCAAAATTTCTTCTGTTTATGAAATAACTTTATTTTTTTCTGATGTTAATCTAGATAATTATGATTTAATGACTGTTTTGTTTGGATCTATGTGAAGCACTTTGTGATAAGTGCTATAGCTGGCTTTTTACTGATGCTTTTTTCGGTGGCATCACATGTACATTGATAGATCATTATTAAATAGTGTCCAGCCCTAACCCACACTGGTTCTGCTTCAGGAGTTCCTCTCCTCTAAGAAGATTTTATTCTGTGACAGAAACATCAAAGTTTTCAGTTTTTATCCAAATCTGGATGTTAAACCGACTAGGGTTGTCACGGTAACCGGTATAGCGGTAAATCCCGGTAAAAAAGTTGACAATAAAAATAACCGGTCCAGTTTTTAATAAACTAAATTATCTCGGTGGGTTTACCGTGGCCGCGGTTTCGGCGCGGTGACCCTTACCAGCCACCGTCGCTTCAGCTGAAGTTCCCGCGGCGCGCACACGCACTTTTTAGTTTGCAACGGCACCAAAACTTTGAAGCTGAAATAATGGCCGAAGGAGGAGACGGCAGCGCCCAGGACATCCATCAGCCCTCAAAGAAGACTAAATCGGAAGTATGGGCATATTTTGGATTTCTGAAAAATGCTGAGGGACAGTTAATAGAAGACTGCTATCCCGTTTGCAGAACGTGCAGGAAACAAGTGTCTGCAAAAGGCAGCAACACTTCGAATCTAATGGCACATCTGAGTGACCATCACCCACGTCTCTACAGCCAGTGCAAGGTAAGTTAACATTAGCATTTTAGCTTAAATGCATGACGTGAGGACTTTTGGCTGAGGGAGAATGCAACGAGTCACTACAGACTGCAGCCGCAGCGTTCTCTGCCAGCATTTAAACCGTGTCACGGACACCCTGTTGCTGGATGAAGCATCTTATTTGTTGATGATGAAGAGAAATATACAATTAGTTCCTTGTCATTGATTTGTTTACTTATTCAATGCCATTTATACTTGAACATTTGGATTTGATTACATAGTGTAGTAGTTATTTTAGTAATTTGTTTAAAGTGGCTATTTGTTTTAAATACATATTTTTTAAGGTTGACTTGTACAGTGCTCAAGTCAAGTGTGGACTGGAGTTTTAGATTTTCATTTTGATAATGAAGAAAACAAGTATATGAGAAAACAAGTGGTGTTTCTTTGATTTGTTTACATATTGTTTATGTTTTGAATGTTTGGATTTGTATAATTTAAACCTGCACTGACTACTGTAACATGTTCCAGAAAAATAAGCTATTTGTTCCTTTACTTGTGAAAAGTTGCACTTTTGCTAAGGCTTTGTGTTATTTTAGGTTTAATAAACACTGTTAAACCTTTTCAGAACTATTTCAGTTTGTGTAGAACAGGACTATCAATGCTTTCTGAACATATGCAACACCGTTTAAAAAATACCGCGATAATACCGAAAACCGTGATAATTTTGGTCACAATAACCGTGAGGTTACATTTTCATACCGTGACACCCCTAAAACCGACGTACGGTCCATAGAAGGAAGCTCCATCTCCAGAACCTCATTCTAGCCCACGTGAACAGTGAACAGTGCTCAAAGCTGTATCACATTCAGCTCACGACACAAACATACATGATGTGTCCTGTGATGAAGCGACTGAATTGGACTTTGTATCCGGCTCGGTTCTGGTGCACCTTGAGTGTGACTTACATTTTGACATAGGGGTCGGAGAATCCATTGACATCCATGGCTGCCAAGTGGGCACAACGCCTCACGCCCACACAGAGACCTCCACCACGACTTCCTTCACCTCCATCAGCATCAGAACCTTCTGGATCCACCGGAGGAACAAACTGAAGGGACAGGAGAAGACGACCTCTCTCCTCCAAGCTGTGCAGCTGCTCTTTTTCCCACTGTAGACAAGATGGGATCAGTCGGGTTGATCAGTTCATCTGCAGGTGATGAAGATGACTCATCAGCAGCTAGAGGTAATCCTGTCATCTGTAGAAGTTACGGCGTGGGAGGTCAGACTGAAGACGTTAACACTGCATCCACGACCCAAGTCAGTAAAATCAATCATACAAAACCAGACATGTAATCTTGTGCTTATTTTATCAAACCTAATACAGGAAATCACAAAAAGTCTTGGATGTGTGGGGTTCAGGTAGAAGGTCAGACACTGTGGGAGGATGAGAGGGTTCATGAATACAAAGGTACACTTTGAGTATTGGGATGGATGTGGACCTCCAGGAACCGTTTTAAGCATCTCTATGGGAACTACACAGTGAGCGATGATGGCTCTGAGGGAAAAACTGCTTTTGAGTGTTGAAGCGCCTTCCTGGGGCCAATGGCTCAAACGCAGACGGGCCACGAGGATGGGACTTCTCCAGAGAGAGGACAGGTCTGAGATGACGAACCTTCGCTGCCTCTCTCTTCCTGCTGTGTGTGTGTGTGTGTGTGCGTGTGTGTGTGCGTGCGTGCGTGCACTGAGGAGCCTGAAGGTTGTGACTCTACCCTGACTTATTTGATGGTAAAATACTTTGTTCCTCCTGAAGTCCACCATCAGCTCTTTGGTTGAAGTTTGTTCTGCAGACACCGTGAAGTCAGCTTGTGGATCTCTGTGCAGTTTGCTCTCTCATCACATACGGACGTCCTTCAGGTGGAGCAAGCAATCGAAGGACGGAGGGTGTTTTGAATCAGCTTCAGTAATACGGATCACTGCAGTTATGAACGTGTTCCTTTTCTCCTTGGATGAAAACATCTTAAAGGAGGCGAGTGAGTCCAGTTGTCACGTTTTGTTGGTTTCATTAGAACCTCTCCATTAGCTCTGGAGGTATTTGGCTAACAAACACAGAATCAGAACCATATTTGTTTGGCTGAACTGAGGTCTTTGTGTTATTGTAGCTGATTTCCAGCACTTTTTGTAGAACGTTCAAATCTTTGTAACAGCAGAAGGTGCATGCTGGTTTTTAGAATGTCTGCTGCTGCTTCCATGTTTGGGCTCCTGGCGAATCAAACTGGAAAACCTCCAGTTTCTCACACAGGTTTCCACTGTTCAGAGTTCTCATTAACCAGGACGTTGTCCACAGAGGAAACAGCAGCTCAGAGCGGTTCTTCATTAGAAACCCGACTTAAACGAATGTTTTTCCTCTGAGGACATTTGCAGGTAACAAATAACAGAGTCGGTCATCTGACATCTAGTTTGGTTTAAAATGAACTCACAGCAACTTTGGCTTGATTCAGGCAGCAGATCCCCCAGAGTCCACCTATAATCCTGGTTTCGACTCATGACCCTCGTGCTCTCACACTGAGAGCAGAAGCAGACAGGCTCCGCCTCCACCTGGATCTCTACAGAATAGTATCAATAGTTTCATCCTCCATCTTTCTCACTTTTTTGGTCTGAACTGAGACGTCCTGTCTCCGATGCCATGAACCCCACCCATCACCTGTCCAGGTCCGATTACAGACAGCAAACCCTTCTTTCACCTCGTGACTCACCTGTATTACGACGTTGGATATTATTTTTATGGTCGATACAAAACATGAAGTTCTAATTCCTATAATGCAATTTCTGCAGTTTTATTCCTGGCTTTCTCGATGCTGTCCAGAATGAGCCATTTTAGCTGCTGCTGGCCACGCCCACCCCTCCCCTCCCCCTCTGGGAGGGGATCAGAACAGAACCGCCGCTCTTACAGGTGAGAGGTGGCTCTATGCCGGGGTGCCCAATCCTGGTTCTGGAGGGCACGTTTTAGTTTTAACTCTACTTCAACACACCTGATTTCAATCAGCAGGTGATTAACAGGCTTCTGCAGAGCCTGATGAGATGCTGCACAGGTGATTCAACCAGTTAATCAAGTGTGTTGGAGCACAAAAACCACAAAACCTGCTGGACACCGGCCCTCCAGGACCAGGATTGGGCACCCCTGCTCTCTGCTCATTTTCCCAACTGTGACATCACAAAAAAGGACTTTTTCAAAGGGCTTGTTTTAGGCAAAGAACTCCTGAAACCAAACACTGACAAAAGCAGAAGAGGCCCACATGACAACATGAAAAGATGCAACAGGTGAGATTTTTTTATTTTAAAATGTCCCTTCAACTAAAATAACCTCAGTAATGATCTTCTACAGGGTTATCTGTGTTCAGCGTTTCTTCCTACTAGTCACGCCACATAAAGCTGCCTATCGACAGCTCCCAGGAGAAGATGTTTCTCTCTGGACTGCCAGAGATGCGTTTTGTAAACAAATCCCCAGATCAGATTTCGTTTGGGTCACATTTGGAACATTAACCTCTCCGCTCTGGCTGACAGAAGCACTCCTGACCCGACTTTCACATCTCGCTCTACTGCTGTAGGAAAGGTCATCATCTTCCAGGTGAGTGGCTGAGGAACGCATTTCCATCTGAGTGAAGTGTCTGGTATCTGACCATAAAGGTCTGATCTTCAGAGAACATCCACGTCACCAGACAGCTGGATGTAAACAAGAGCAGGTCTAAAATGTTTGAGGAGGTGCAGAGAACTAAACCCCACCAAGGTTTTTCTTGTTTTGCTATCGTCTTCTGCAGCTGCAGGACCCCGGCACGCTGCAGTCACGGGGGCCTCATATAACACCTAGCCACCTCACGGTGCTGGTTTTATGTGTTATGTGTTGTTACATGTGTGTAATGAAAAGGTGTCTCCCCTGTGAGGTTAGTGGACCGTTCCAAGCTCTGTTACATGTGATGATTTAAACCAAAACAATAGCGTTCATACTGAAAGTTGAAGTATTTTTCTCCAGACTCTGAAACATGAACCAGAACAATCCGAATGAGCTACAAGATGCTGCTGCAAAAGCACTCCTAGCATCGCTAATGCTAACCAACACAGGCTATCACTGCAGCCTACGGTGTGTGTGTGTGTGTGTGTGTGTGTGTGTGTGTGTGTGTGTGCGTGTGTGTGTGTGTGTGTGTGTGTGTGTGTGTGTGTGTGCGTGCGTGTGTGTGTGTTCCAGCCAGCAGTTTGCCTTGTTCTGATCCATTCAGCTCTGTTGATAATATACAACAACAGAAGCGGCTGAATGGACTGCAGCTCTTTGTGGCGTTTAATTAATCCTGATGTTCTCAGGCTGAGGCTGCTTGTTAGACTTTATGCTGCCAATTAGTTTAATTAAATTTGTTGTGTCAAGAAGGAAACCCTGCAAACAAGCACAAAGAGAAAACACACTCATTTGTTTAATTAGACTTTTGATCCAAACCACTCTGTTTCCAGCTTGTTAGAAGGAAAACTGCCAAACGCCCAGAGTACTCAGAAAGAAAACCCCGGAGACACTTAGGCCTAGTCCACACGTAGCCGGGTTTTTTTTAAAAACGAATATCCGCCCCTCCAAAAACTTGCATCCACACCACCGCGTTTTAAAAACAAACTCTGTCCACACGTACCCGGATAAATACGTTGTTAAGGACATGCCAGACCTGTAGGCGGCAGTAGTTCCTCCGTTCTTAACCTCGTCCTTCGTCTGTGGTCTTCCGCAAGGAGAAGTAATTCCGATGCAAAAACAAACAAGCAGAAAGCGCTTGGACAATTGATGGATCGGGTAGTGACAGAGCGCAGCTCTGAAGGCTTCCATGATGCCGGCTAGTGTAAACACAGGTCGCACACGTGATGTCAGCATTTTTTGTCGCGGAAAGTGACGTTGCGGACCTTAAAACTCCGGTTTTGTCCGTCCACACGCAGACACCCAAAACGGAGAAAACGCAGATCTTCACTTTGGCCGGAGTTTTTAAAAAGATCCGTTTTCGTGTGAAAAAACTCCGTTTTCGTGTGGATGACAGGCAAAAACGTGGAAAAATATCTACGTTTTGGCAGATCCCCGGCTACGTGTGGACAGGGCCTCAGACATGTTTGCTGCTCTCAGATCAGCCTGCAGACTGAAGGTGAGTCATCAGGTAAAACCCCTGTTAGTCCCCTGACTCCAAACACTTGCATCATTACATAGGTGCAGAACAACAGCTGATGAGAAACACACACACACATGCGCACACACACACAGGCACGCACACACACGCACACGCGCACACACACACACACGCGAACACACGCACGCACACACACGCACGCACGCGCGCGCACACACACACACGATGTTCTGACCCAGATGGCTGCACAGCTGCAGCTCTATCAAAGGTCCCTGGATTTTGGAGGTCAGGACTTCTCATAAGAAATGTAAGAAAGAAGAAACTGAAGACTGATCAAGAAGTCTGGCCTGTGTTGTTTTCATGCAGCAGAACAACAGCTGCAGATTTTGTAAAATCGTAGACATTTCCTTTTAGTGCAGAATGTTTTCATTTGAACACAACAGGACATTTTTATCATGTTTGTTTTCTGCTGCTCATCTGTGCTTTTGGGATGGATTTCTGTGTAGAGGCTGTGTTTGTGTTGCATGTTTGATTTAAATTAAAGAAGCAGCTTCCAGTTGAGACTGAAACAAGTGGATGTTGTGGAGCAGGGCACAGAGAAAATGAATGAACCCGTCATCTTCATAAAACCAGAGTTTCAAAGGAAGCAGCTGTGTGAACTTGCTTCAACAAAAGCAGGAGTCTTTTAAAATAAGTCTGATTGTTGTTTCCTCTCTGACACACAGCGTCACATGACTTTATTTTATTTTATTTTATTTATTTATTTATTTATTTTTACCGTGTCCTGTCTGGCTGTGAAGCAAGCAGAATTGATGTCTGAATGCTGGTAACAAGCCTTACAGATTTATTCTCAGGTGGAGCATCAAAGCGTCTGCTTTTAATGTCACGCCTGATACTTAAAACTTTATTGTTATTGTTGTTGAATGCTTTGTAATTCTGACCAGACACGGAGACAGAGGTGAAAGAGAAAGGAAGAGAAAAGGTGGAGAGAGAGAGGGGGGGGGGGGGGGGGGGGGGGGTTCCA